CTAGTTTCTGCGTGCAAATTAGCTGTACAAATAAGGAAATGTGGTATTTTGGGATGAAAATATTCTGATTTGTATGTAGCAGTGTAAGAATTGCATGTGGAATTCAGAGATGCTGCTCACAAATCTTTGTTGGGCTGAACTGTATTCCCTGATAACCTAAAAATCAGATTTAACATGCCTCTATTTTGAAGGTATACATACAGATGAATTTTCAGAATAAAAAGTGCTGATTACACATTTGGAAAGCCTGAATTTTGTAAATTAGATCTATGGAGAACTGCATGAAGGAGCTCTTGCTAACACCAACGAGGCACACCAGCCTGGTACAGCAGTTTTGCTCTTTGGGTTCCTGTGCCATGCTTAGATGTAGCCTCTCTTACATTACATTAGCAATAAGAAAAATTTATATAATTTGAGTTTCAATTTCAGACAGAATTTTTGTCAACAGTGCTTGTGGATTCTGAATTTAAGGCAATGTGAGAAAGAACAACTGAAAGGGACAAGGCCAGGAGCTGTAACAGGTGACAGGAGTCACCTTTAAATTCTAGACCCAAACTTCCCCTTAAAATAAAGTAGTCAAAAGCCCTTGGCAGCCCAAACCCACCCGCTCTCAGGCCTGCTATTGTTTTCAGTGACTTGGGCTTGGATCTGGCTCACCTGCTTTTTACAATAAAGTAAATAATATCTCATTGCTACAGCCAGATGTGACAGAGCATCTGTGATGGTCACCCGTGTCCCTTGGTGCACTGGTTTGGTTCTGCATCAAAGCAGTTGGTCCAGGTGGGCCTATAGGGGTGCTGCTCCCCTTCTCCAAAACATTAGGGAAAAACTGTAAATGGGTGATCTCTCTGGGTATGGGAAGATGGTGGAACATAGTCATCAGAAGATCCTGGGCCAGCAGCTGTGGTTCTGCTGGTGGGAGAGGTGGGTCTCTCAGTGGTGATAGGGCTTCCTAAGTTTGTGGATGCTAAGGTCTTGATAAGAACATTTTTAATAATAGTATTTCTGTTCAACAGTAATACTTCAGATCTACGTACCTACCAGATTTCAGTAGGTCTAGTTGTTGTCTGAGGAGATAACTCTAAGTTTTTGATCAAATCAGTTGGAGATTTTTACCTTAGCTGCTGCTTTGCCTGCTCAGATTGGGGTTTTGATGCTGGATTGTCTAGGAACCCCCCAAAAAAGGACTTCGGTCCCAGAAACATGGAAATTATTAGATGGGGAATGCATTTTCCCTGTGCTTGCTACCGAGCAGTGTGCACCCTGGAACAAGAGGGGCTACTGGAGAAGCAGTGTGCCCATTATCTTTTGGGTGTTGCTGGCTCTATGCTGCAGCAGGTGCCCCTGAACTACTCTACCATCCCTCTCTGAGGGGAGCTGGAGAGGACGCACATTCTGATTATTTGGGTTAGGTCAGGAAAATCAGTTTGTTACGTTGGTGATGGCAAGGGATTTCTGTAACAGTTTGGGAGCACAGGAAGCAAAGAGAGAGACAGCCATTTTATTTCAGGCTTATGCTATACATTGAGATTCATTATACAATTTTCCCCCTAAATTAATACAAAAATAGTAAAAATTGGTTAAAAAAAAGCCCAAAAGAAACCCCTTGACATCTTGCAAGCCATTTATTTGACGCACAGGTTAAGACTTCTTGGAGCTTAAATAACCTAGAATTGTTTATACTGATCTATTTTTTTTCCTTTTTCCAAAATTAAAAAAAGGTAATGACTTGCAGAACGCCAACACCATCAGAACAATTTGTGCCTGAGAAGTGGCTGCCCCAGGCAGGCGCTCATGATGCTGAGGTGCCCTCTCTCCAGGTAGGAAGCTGTGCCAGGACAACCACAGGGCAAACGGTGGCCTGTCAGGGCACTCACTCTGCTCCAACCCATGCACCATGGACAGGAATATGTGTTCAAATCCCCTCTTGGGATACTTCTGCCACATCTTTCTCAAAAAAACCCACAAAACAACCAAACAAGAAATTCACCACTGCACTTTCCTGGCAGTGGATGGGTTTCACAAGGGCTCCCTGGGGGCCCATCCCCACCACAATTTAGAGCTAAAGCTCCTCCCTGTTCTCTAATAAGACTGGGGAGGAGGGATAAAGTTGCCCCCACCCCTGCACTGTGTTGGGGTCACTGGGGGTGCCCTGCCACAATGGTGTAGTGCCTGGCCATGGGTGGAAGATGCTTCCTACCTTTGGGGAGGGGAAGGGGCTTTCTCCCCTCCCTGCCTCCTTCTCATCAGACCTGTGTGTACCCCAGGAAGGCTTACTTATTTCACAATATTTATAAGAAAATAAATGACAAGTACTTTTAGTGATAAATGTAAGGAAAAAGCCATGGAAGAAATACTTTGTCCCTACATAGCTAATTGTACAATTTGACTTGTATGGATCTGCATTTTAACATGTGCAAAGGCAGGGGAGAAAAAGGCTCTGGGTAATTCTTTCCAACCAAGATCTTCCAGAAAGTGTTCCCAGAGGGCTCGTGCCTTACCATGCAAGTCCTGGTTCATCAAAACCCAGCAGTGCTGTCCCAACATGAGGCATGGGAGGAGTGAGCCATGCCCACACGGGAGCTAGTGCACTCTGCAGGCTGTGCATCTCTGGGAAACACCAGGCACGGCCGTGGGATGGGGACAAGGGCAATGGCACCACCACAGCCCCTGGTCTGGCATCCCCAGTGCCCACACAGCAGTGTTGTTCCAGCCCCTCCTGCACTCCCATCCAGTTACCAGTTCCCAGCCATGCCAGAGGTGCTACTGGGGCCCACAGCAAGCCCGCAGCTAACTCTTATTAACTCAGCTTCCCTTCCCTGCATCTCCCTTAACATGCTACCTGCTTCTGAAGTAAACAAATAGGAAAAACCACCATTTTGCTAAGTTTTGAAGTAACTGGTTCTTCTATCACAAAACCCACTTGCTTTGCTGGCTCTCAGTTTTTCAGAGAAGTCACAGTCTTCCTTCTGATTCCCCTGATCTCTGCCCAGTCATGCCATCGCTTTGTTTTGTTTTCCCTTTGAATAAAAATAAAGAAGGTGTTGGCTGAAGGGGGATTTCATGGCTCACAGGAGGATAGTCAGCCTAGAGAAAAGCATTTAAAAGTACACCTTTCAATTTACAGTACATGTTTTACCTGTATTCAGTGCTGGCTCAGAAAGCTTTTGAGAGCAGATGCAAATCCTCTCGTGGCTTAACATAACCTCAAGCCACTTTGATACTGTTTTCCCTCCAGGTTCACACAGTTGACCATGGTAAGTGTATTTGCTTGTCTTTGGAAAAGAACCTCTTTTTCTTTGACAGACAGGTTTTTCTCAACCTTCCAAACTCTAATTTTAATCTAACTAGAACACTTTCATATTTCTGCTTTGGGCAGCAAATTCTGCCTTCATCAATTAATTTTTATAGTGTAGTTATTCCAGCTCTACCAAATTTTGTCTCTTCTTTTTTTTCCTCCCGTTAGAATACTTGTAAATTGAAAGTGGACTTCTACTAAGACAACATTAGAAATTATGTTACAAGAAAACTGGACTGATCTTGAGGGCCATTTGCACGTTGGTTGGCTCTTTTTCCCCATGCTTATCCTGTAATTAAAAATGAATTGTACACCATACCTTACTGTATGGAATTTTATGTTTGTAGAAGATACATGTGCTCAGTGGGCCACAGTCCTAGATAGTCTTGTCAGCCTTAGCTAAAACTTTCACTGTTAGATTTTAATCAGTGCCTGACAGTGTACAATACCCTGTTCTACTCACTGAACTTATAAAAAAATTGGGTAATCTATACTGCAAACAAAACCACAGTGATACCTGGGCTAAAAAGCCACTTAAGAGTATGACAAAAATCTGCTTAAGCCTAGGTAGTCTTCCAAAATGGAGGTTCACCAGTAAAGGCAAACTCTTATGCACAGTTAGCCACTGGGAGTGCTTTGGACCGAGAACAGAGCACAGCATCTGCACCTACTGATCAATCGGCGCAGGGAGGACCAACTGATTTTGGTGAAGATAGTTGCTCCAGAGGAAAAAGTCAAAGAGGATAAAGGCCAAAGTGGCTTAGCATAGTCTGAAACCTTGAGAACACGCTGTTTCTGGTTCATGTTGAGGTATTCAAGCTACCTGTAGAGAAGGAATATTTGGTGCATGCGTCAGACACATCAGGATTCAGGCAGAAACCTCACCGACCCAGGATGAGTGCACCTTGGATACTTTCATGGCTTTACCTTGCCAGCCCTGGAGGGGGGGAATGAAATGGCAGCCTGAGGTGAAACACAGTGAAAAATATAGGTAAGTTGGTTTTGGCTCTGATCTGGGTTTTCTCTCTTTTGGGGATGTTTCAGTCTCCTGCCTGTCCTGTCCCTGTGTAGAGAGGGGCATGGCTCCTCTTCTTTGATCCAGTTCAGGGCAGCTAGCAGGAGTTACTAGTTACTGGAGAGGGTAACATGGCACTGGGGGAAACTGCTAGGAAAGGAATATGCCCTTAAAAAGATTTTTTAGGAAGGAGCTGGACAAACATCCTTCAGAAATGATTTAAATGCTGTTGACTCTGCCTTGGGGCAAGGGGGTGGACTGCCTGACTTCTCACCCTGCCTTCTTGGACACCCAAGCCTGTTCTGCAGTCGTAGGACTGCCTCCACATCCTTTTTCTGACAGGTTTGGAGATACAGGAGTAATTTTATCCCTGATTTTATCAACTTTCTTGGAGATCTCTGAAGGCCATACATGCTGAAATTTAAGGAGAGGCCTCTGAAACTACAAGCTTGTCTTTGGACATCTCTTTAAAGACACTCCTGTCTACGCACAGCAATTAGATGTTAAGATGTTTATGGTAACCACCTTTGTGTCTGGTGTTTGCAAGTAGATAACGTGATGGATAGCAGAGGTATAAAATCAGTGTTTGCCATGTATTTCTCTCTGCAGTGTAAAAGCAACCTCTTTCACACATATCCCATTTCCAAGTATTCCACAAGTCAGTAGATTGCTGCAGAGGAATTGCAATTCCTCTGTAACTCTCAACTAATTTGCTAATGCCCTCAGAAGTTTAAAAGCCACTGCAGCTTCTTGTTGAACAGGCAGGAGATAGGGTGACTCTTCTTTAAATGAAATTGTGATAATCACAGAAAATCTAGAGTGAAGCATATTTAATGAATGATTTTTGGCTGGAAAACATAGCCCCAAGCCTGACTCTAAAGAAAACAGGGGAAACAGATCTTTTTCCTAGTCTTACATTCATTTGGCTGTCTTCAAGGTGTCCACCTGGGTTCTGCCAAGGCTGAAGTTGTTGTTACAGCTTCCCAGCTGCTACCGCAGCAACTGTTGTTTATTTAAGCAAAGATCCTGTGCATTCCTGGACACAGCTTCCTTTCTTCTGGTCAGAGAAGGGACGTATCCAGGGGAAAGTAAATGTTGCCAGCTGCGCTGCTGACTTTTTTTGCTAGTGAGCATGTAGCGTTTTGCTTCAGGGCAAAATATCTGGTTATCTTCTGCTAGGAAGAATGCTTCAGAATTATCTCTTTGCTTGAAAATTAACATTCACTCAGTGGCATTTGCGGGTTTCGCACAGGGCATTTGGGGGTCACTGGGACTGGATGCTAAAGAGATGTTTCATGCAATGAAGCATACCCTGGGTTTGTGACCACAGACGTGCTAATGACCGTGCAGGTACCACAGGCAGCCTCCCAAGCCACAGTGCTCCCAGTGGTCCAAGCCTCATGGCTCCTGCAATATCCCTTCCCCTCCACATACTGTCACTGAAGCAAACCTTATGCCAAGTGCTGAAAACTTTTCAAGTACTCTTACTTTCCGGATGAGCTGCAAAAAGGAATCTGGCTGTAATATATTCAACTTGCACCACAAAGCAACAGTCCATATATTCATGAGACCACCCAACACACCAGTCAGCTTCCTGATACCAGGTTTTCACAGGCGACGTATAGTCGGAATACTCTCAGCAAAACCTACAGAATTGGCTTACATATCCCCACTGGGGTTCAACCACATGATAAAACCTTACAGTAATGAGCCTGTCGCTCTTAAGGGTGGAGGGGGCGGAGGAGGAAAGAGATGCTGCTTTATCTGTATTACTCCACATCACAGATGCTGACAGAATTATTGATTTAGAACTCACAGCTCCAAAAAGACTCAGTAATGTAATCTTTTTAAGTTGTGTTTTTTTTTTTTTCTTTTTTCTCTCAGAAGTGATGTTTTCAATAGGCCCCTTAGATATGGGCTCTTTGGGGACGTTGTTAAACTCGCTGCTGCTAAACCACAGTCACAGCCTTCGGTTTGTTCCACACAACTCTCACGGTCTACTGTCTCTTGGAAGAGCCCATAGCTGTTAAGGTCTATTGCTTTACAGGTACTCTAGGAAGATTGAGGGATTAAGTTATACATTATGTAAAACTACCCACTAATCCTCTTAGTGTGCATTACCAGTGAATGGCCTGAAAGAGGCTCTCACTAAAAGAGCCCTAACATTCACTTTCTTGATGACATTTTAGTATTTGAGGTTTGTATCATGGATTTTGGTGCTGAAATATTCAGTACACCATCTTCTATCTGCTGCTAGATCCACTCACATGTCCTCGTAGAGTGCTAAAAAAATTGCAGTTGGTAAAGCAGATTACATGTTTAACTAGTAGCGAGACATGTATAAAATAGAATTATATATTTTCTAGAGTGACAGAGTCACCTGGATTTTTTGTTCTTTTTTTTTTCTTTTTTTGTTATTTTTTTTTCTTTTTTGTTTTTATAAGAAAAAGAAACGGCTATAAAACCATGATTAAAAATGTTACAAGGGATGATTTCCATTTTAAAATAATGATATTTTTAGAAAAAAAAAGAAGTGATTTATAACATAAAAGTGTTTGGAAAGCATTTGGTTGCTGTGTACTGCCTTCTTTCCCAGTACAGTTTGCTATCTTTTATATAGTCTTGCATAAATGTTTAGATTAGGGGAGAAAAGAAAAATTAAATGTGATGGCTAAGACTTATAAGAGCTGACTCACTGACTTGAGTTATTGCTGTGCAGAAAGTTTGTAAAGCCTTTACATCCAGCGAACATTTAGTGCTACTTCAGCCTTGACAGTTGACCTTTCAATATGATTTGGTTTAGCCACAATAATTGCAGCATCTGCAGTACAGGCGATGCAGATGACTGCTTAGGAACCCAATTGCTCTCATTAGATCTTACTTCATGCATCTAAAATTCAACTTCCCTTTGCATGTGTGTGAAAATTGAGCAAGGTACAATCCCCTGGCTCTTTTCTTTTTTTTTAATTTATTTTTGATTTCTCCCATAATTTTGAATATTCCTGGATTTAGCTTAGAGGAGGGAGGGAAAACCTCCAAACTCCTTCCTCTCCCCAGATATTTAGTCAGTACTGGTTTCTTTTCTTTTTTTTTTTTTTCTGTTTTGTTTTCAGTAAGACCTTGTGTAAAAAAGCAACCAACAAATCAAGTTAGACTGTTGTAATTTGGTCAACCACTCGGGTGCTATCCATATCCACCATTTCAACACACTCTATTTCCTCACGGTTTTCAGGATTCTTCTTTTCTTTCCTCTTCTTCTTGGAGGGTGGCAGGAAAGTCAGTATCACAGGTAAAATGGCAAAGCAGTGAAAGAAGGTGACTAATGCTATTAAAAACAAGCACCTGAACAGTGTACGGGTCAGATTTGAAGGCACAGCTGCAAGAGGAATCAGACCAACAATATAGCAGAGGTAGCTCTGCAAAATAGCTACCCCATGCACTTCCAGGGCATTTTTCACCCATTTAGTTCTTGTGAGCTCTTTGCCCAGGACAAAGGTTGATAACAGTGGAGCACAGTTGTCAATTGTATAATTAATTCCGTAAATTAAGCACAACACAGAAATACAATCTAGTTCCACTTTCCACAAGGTCATAAAACCTATAACTCCAAATTCAACCGAGGCAACAGTTAGAGTGAGCCAGACATTGATCAGAGAGTCTGCGACCAGGAATGCAGAGAAGAAGAGCAGAAATAAAGCACTAATGCAGGAGTTTTGTAAGGGGGCTCCCACTGAAGAGGCATAACGATCCATGTACACAAATGATGGATTGAAAACGATGAATTTCACCTTGGAGGTGAGAGAGAGCTTCCTCAGGGTCTCCAGGAGGTCATAAAGTTCTTCCCTCTTGGTTTCCATTGTCTTTGCCACCAAGAACATCCTGGAGGCCACAACATCAACTTCATTGTTGTATTTCTTGGAAAAGATGATATCCTCTGAAAAATGGGCAAACTGAGGGGTCTTCAGGAAGGAGTTCCTCAACATATCAGTGAAATTCTTCTTGGGCAATCCGGTAGATATGTTGAGTTTCCTAAGGTAATTTAAGTAGCTTTCGAACCAAGATATCCTCACAAAGCCCTTGGTATACTCCAGCACGTCCTCCTGGACACTGGTGTTCCAGTACTCGATTGACTCGTAGATGTAGAACCCAATCACTGGGCTGTAGTTACTGAAATACTTCTGCTGGGCAGCTGTATACTCGATGGTTCGTGTCGCAGTCGCTACGATGTTGCTCAGCTCTGACCCTTCACTGACCTGCAGGTAGCCCATTAAGGCAAAGGAAATATAAACAAGGTAAAAGAGAACTACAAAAGGCTTGACATAAGTGTTTGTTATCCAGTCACAATAATAGCGTTTCAGGAACCACACCAAAAGATGACTCTCGTAAGTGTTCGTTTCCTCTGAATCATCTGTGTCCTCACTGAATTTGGCTGTCAGAAGAAACCTATACCATGCAGGCTTCTCTTGCAATACCTCTGGCTTTGGTACCTTTCTGCAGAAGATACTATGCTGGTAGTTGTTTTCTATGTAGCCAGTAAACACCAGGCTGGAACCATAAAAGGAGAGTACATAGAGGTAGTTGAAGAAAATTGCAATACAGGAATTGCAGCAGAAAATCCTGGCTGCTTCAATGTTAGTGAAGGGACTGGCACCTATTCCAAAAGTGACCAGGTACATGGCAGTGGTGAGAGAAAACGAGAGCATGGAGTCTGCAAATACGGCTGCAGTCCTCTCTTTAACGTGTTGGTCTTCTCTAGTTTTTCTCCAGGAGGACAACATTTCAAAAGTCCCATATAACCCATGACCTACAATAGAGAACAAAGTGAGTGTTTAAAGTACTTGAATCAACACGTGGAAAAATGTAATGTGGACATGCTGAAAACTCAAAGATGACACAGCCATTACCCGTGCTTGAAGGAAATGTCCTGCAGAAGAGAGAAATGATTATGGAGGTGTGAGCCACAGGAGTGCATTTGCTACCTGACTAGGAAGCCTTACTGCCAGAGCTTGAGAGTTCTACATCACTGAGATTCATGGGTTAAAGAAAAACGATTCTTTTTTCTGGTTGGCTGTTTCATTTCATTATTTCGGAGTGCCTGTGATGGAAGGTGCTTTCAAATTAGTTTTTCCTGGTGATGGTATCTGACCTGTGGTGAAAACAAACAACTACAACCTGAAGTGCCTATGCAGGAAGCAGAGCAGTAGTTGGCTGCTTTGTAGAAAATCTGTAAAAAATGGAAATTCCATATAAGCTGAAAATTGTCAATTAAATTAGTCACTGATTTGTCCACGTCCTGTACAAATTTTCTGTCAGGAAAAAGAAATCCTAGAAGCAGGACAAAGAAAGCACAAATAAATTTTAGAGATGCAGAGTGGTAGAGCTGATACAGAGCTGCTTAAGGCATTGGTCTTCTTTATATATCTAAGGGCTTGTAAAAACAAATACAGCCATATTTTCCTTGGCAATGCCTACATTTGATAATGTATTTAATTGACTCTTAAAATGGATATACCATTCATGAAAGGAGATTAAGATCTGCTGACCTAAAATCTTGTGTTTAACCCCCAAGTGCAGGTAAATCAGGAAAAGTACATGGTTTTATCTTAATCCTTGGTTAGTTGTCTTCCTCTTAGAGTTTCTATTTTGTGACTGATAATCAAGATGCACTTGGAGGACATAGACATCTGCTCTTTCATAGTAGACCTGAGCTGGGAACTCAGCCATTGACCAGCTACCAGGTGAGAGGGGCTGAGGTAAAAGTAGGCTGATGATTTACAGAGATGAACAGAATATAGTCTTCATAGCACACCTAAAATGTAAGACTGTAATATTTTCTCATAATAATTCGTATTAAGTTCATCTTTACTTAACAGACTCCTTCTATCTAATCCAACCCTCTTTGCTGCCTTTTAATTCCTCCTCCTCGTTCTTTTGCATATTTTGCTGTCACCTGTCTACCTCTCTGGTCTGCTCTTAGATTATCTTCAGAAATTCCCAACAGCTGTGTTTTGCTCTTACCCATCTTCCCTCATAATCAGTGCTAAATTAGTTGCTGATAACACTGAAGTGTAATCACTGGACTTTTGAAATTGATGCTCCAGTCAAGCAGGTCAAGGTAATTCACAGATCTCTCTTAGAATTTCAGGCTGTCTGCAGAGTACCAAAAGTGCTGTATCAGCTCTGTTCTCTCCACCTGTAGACAATTATCACTTCTGCTACAAGGGCTATAAATAGCTGTCAAGAAACCTCAAACGAATCAGGTATTCTGGGAACTGGAAGACCATGGGATATATAAGGGGGTTGGAACTAGTTGATCTTGAATGTGCCTTTAATTAACTTCACAAAATAACCCTTTTGTGGTCAGCACCTTTAACTGGGGAGGCAGTTGTAGCTGATTCACTCCATCCTTCCTGAAATCCAGATTTTAACAGATGACAGAGCTGGCACTCTGTTAATGCTGAAAAGAATAGGTATTTTATAAAGAATTCACAATACAGAGCTCACGAGATAACAGGACAGCTGATGTATCTCCTTATCACTGGGTAACAAAGCCCGCACTCTCATGTATATCAGATATTTTACCTATTTTGTTATTTAGAGTCACGGCATGGACCTTGAATGTCCAATTTGTAGCAATATTACGGTCCTGGTTTTGGCATTCATCTTAATTTTCCCAAACAATGTTTTACAGCTGCTTTCAGAGGCCAGGTCGAGACTGTCAATTTGATAACTAGCACTGTGCCCCCTCTTAAAGCTAATGGGGAATACTGGAACTCCCCAGACATAAAATCAAGCAAAAAGCACAATCAGTGACTGGCACCCCGTTGCTAATTATGCTTCAAATAGTTATGTTCTAGGCTCAGTAGGGAAAGCTATTAAGCTTGCTTTCAGTGTGTTCTTTGTAAAGACAGACTGACCTTTATTTAAATGTAACTGATCACTTGCCAAAGCAGGGAGTGAGAGGTTTAATCCATTTATGGCTCCCATAAGTCCTGCAGACAGGCTTCTCTGAGAATTTCACATGGCATCATATGCATTAGCTTTGAGTGAGCAAAACAGAATAAAATGAGGTCATTGAATATTACAAATTACTTCCATCATGAGCTTTAGCTATAGCACGCTTTTGTAAAAAAAACCATTTCAACGTTAATAGGCTCTTGCCTAAAAATACTCAAATAGTCATATTAATTTGGAAAGCCTTTGATTCTGCAGTGAGAGAAAGAAATTAGAGCTAGTTAAATACGATGCTAAACATGACTTTTTAACAGGTATAAGATTTTGGATAATGTCTGATAACATGATTTCCAATATCACACACTTTCTTTAAGTAGGAAACATAAAACCACACTTTGCTGATATATAGTTTTCAAGACTACCCTAAAATGGAATCTGATTTAGAGAACTGCTCAAGTAAATGCATGAAGAGGAGTCACCACATGTGCTCCACAAAGCCAAGAGAAAAATATTTGGATACTCTTCTATTTTAGGATAGGTTCCTTTTGTTGTTTGCTACACAATCTGTGTGCTAGGAATGGGTATTTTCCTTCAATTGTACAGTTTGTGATTTCTCTGTCCACTTGTATAATAGCTACAGAATTATCATTTACCTTTAGGAGGATATGCCTAAATGAAAGTTGCACACTTTTTGCATCAGCGTCACTACTGACCTGACCAGTATCCTCTGAACAAAATTAGGCTGCAATTCATGCACAAACCAGGCATGGCAGTCAAACGATTAGCTGTATTTAGCTAGGATGGGATTTACTTAATTTACTCCTCTAAATATTGAGTGTAAACACAACTTGGAGTAGCAATCTCCAACACTGTCTAACTCTGATGCTCATGTAAGTCTAATCCACTGAGATTAGAGCAGATACCTCCATGGAAGCATTTTGTGAGATTTTTTTTCACTTTTCTGCTATTTCGAAGTTTCCATTTTTTGCATTCATAACCAATTTGCAGCAATTACCTCTATTTCTCTAACTGATGCTATGTCTGCTCTACATAATATTAATGAGAAGGCGGCAATTTTTTCCTTGTAAATAAATTCTGCAATTGCTTTAACTGATTTTCTCTTTTTAATAGAGATTTAGCCCCAAATCTGCAATCATTTAGAGCAATTTGTTCATTATTCACGGTCATTCAGTAAATAATAAATATGATCTCAAACAGCTAATGGGCTACTGGAGATCTTTTCCTGTTGACATTTACTTTTATGATTCACTGGTCACGCCCTACAGTCAGGCTGCACGACCATGAGCTAACAAGGAGTACACAGAAAGACAGGGTATTTTTAAGAAAAAGGGGTTCTGAAGGGGCAAAGGAAAATGTAAAAGTGATAGGAGAAAGGTATTGGATAAAATGGGGATCAAACGTTTTTCCTTATTCTCTTTTTCTGCTACCTAGCATTTAGGAGATACTCCTACCATGTCTTGGATGACTGGGAACAGACGTTCTGGCTTTTGTAGTCAAAGAAAATAAAGAAGATAGTTACTGTTAATTCCGAGGAGCTTACAGTTTTTACATGCTGAGGTGGGCTACCTTTAACTTTAGAACTTAATAATAATACCACCAACTAAACCAATCACTTGGGCCTAGCTTAAACACAGTACTTTTATGAGTAGCCTGAAAATGCTATAAAAAGTTTCATTTTCCTCCTTCAGAATCAAGCCTTGCAATTACACATGCTCTGCAAAATCAATGCAGAGCATGCACGAGAAAAAAAATGCCCTTGCAGAAAGTTGTGAAAACTAAAGCAGCATTTCCTCTTCTTTAAAATTATCAAATTATTTACCTAATTTTAAAATACTACTTAGGTGCAGGCACTGAAGCTATTCTTTTTAGTACCATTTTAAAACCTCAAAAAAGAAATGCATCCTTTCTGGTTAAGTGGTTGCTCAAGGGGTCTTTACAAATGGGCATCGGCAGCCCAGGCTTAATGTTGGCTCTGCTCCTGACTGGCAAACTGCAAGACCAAAGCAGAGAGAGGTGAAGGGATTTAAGCAGCCCCAGAGCTTGTGAGAGGGCAGTAAAGTGACCCTCCTGGTCACTGCAGTCAAAGACCAGTTCTCTATTCATTTGGCTTAACTGCTTCCCTGAAATAAGGGCTGTTGCCTGCTTTTTTGTTTAAAGATTATGGGATATGTTCGATTTTGCACTAACATCATGTCAAGTTTTGATCTTGTGAAGATTAGGTTTGCATATTCAAACAGACTTCTGTAAGAGAAACTAAGGTGAATGGCTGAGAACAATGTTTTGGTTCCTCTTTTTGCAGTTTTACCTACCTGTGAAACTAGAGAGTAATAGTACACTCTAGGTCTTGGGGTTTTTTTCCTTACTGTTTTGAAGGTTGTATGTCTCTATATGTGCTTGATACTTGAGTAAAATCTCTCTGAATAAAGCACCACTTACAGGTTGTGAAGTTCCAGCCTTCTGTGTGGAAGGTTGCATTACAGGGGTAATCAATTTTATTAATCCCATTTTAATGCAGAGGTGCACAAAATGCTAATAAAGATTGATCTCCACCTCAGTGAGGCTGAAGGCTGCACCAGTACATATGTTGCCCATTAACTGCCAGAATTAAGGCCAATAAAGCATCAAACTGTCTTCCTAAGGGGGCAGACTTCTCTAGTGGCAGAGCTGAGTTAGGGGGTGTTTCTCCCTTCTCAGGCATTAGTTCCCCTCTCTTACTAAAGTTTGCTGATCCCACGTGGCTACTAACTAAAGGAATGGTTGGGATTAGAAAGCAGCCTTTGTTTTGTGTGTGGTTTTTTTGTTTGGTTTTTTTTGTTTGTTTTGTTGTTG